TCACTTCTGTTGGGATGGAGTTGGCAATTATTTGTATTGCTCTTTTAAAAAATATTATTTTTATTTTATGTGCACGAGTGTACTGCCTGATATGTAAGGGTACCCATGTTGTGCAATGTCCACAGGGGTCAGAAGATGGTGTCAGATCCCCTGGAACTGGAATTAGAGATGGTTGTTAGCCACCATGTGTATACTGGGAATCAAACCCAGGTCCTCTGCAAGAGCAGCCACTGCTCTTAGCCGCTGAGGCAGCTCTCCAGCCCCTTACTGCTCTTTTAACTGTCTGGAGCATCTTGGCGATGCCCACTCGTTCATTCCTGATGGTGACTTGTCTTCCGGCCCTTTCTCTTAATGAATCCGACTACGCCCTGTTGATTTTGCTCACCTTTCCAAAGCCCGCATTTCAGTTCAATGTTTTCTCTGTAGCTTTCCTTCTCGATGTTTCTGTCTCTAGGTTAAGGGGGAAGGTTACCTCACAGGCCTCTTTCTCCCTTCCACTGTAAACAATGCTGTGATGTTCTAATTGTGCGTTAGCCACATCCCGTCCCCCAACTCTGATGTGCTTGCTTTCATTTCCAGTGAGGTGAAAATATTCTGATTTTCCTCCTTTCTTCCTCACTGGCCATGGCTGACTCAGAATTGTTTTGTCCTACTGTCACGTTTGAGTTTTTAGGTATGCTTTTATTACTGAATTCTATTTAATTCTGTTATGATAAAGTACTTGTTTTATAGGACTTGTTAAGGATGCTATCTGGTCTACCTTAGAAAACGTCCCACTTACTAAGAAAGTGATATGTGTTCTGCTGTTTGGGGGTTCAGTGGCCAGTAAGTGCTGACAGTACTGCTCAGGTCTCAGTCCTTACTGATTATCTGATCTTGCTCCATTGATTACTGAAAGAAGAGTATCAAGGCTCCCCACTATAACTGAATTTATTTACGTTTATCAAATCATTTCCTGTACCTGGAGACTGTTTTATTAGGTGGGTACATATTTAGAATCATTTTATCTCCTTGGCTACAGCATCGTTGTTGTTACGTGATGCCTTTCTTCATCTCCTCTGAAATCTATAGTACCGAATAATACAGTCAGCCCAACTGCCTTTCTGCTAAATGTTTACATGGCTTATCCTTTTCATCTTTTTCTTTTAACCTATTTGTATCTTTATATTTAAAATGCTTTTAAGATAAAATACCAGATATGGTATTGTGTACCTGCTGTCCCAGTTGCTCAGGAGGTTGAAGCAGGAAGATGACTTGAGCACAGGAGTTAGAGACAAGCCTCGGCAACACAGTGAGACCGTGTTTCGAGGAGGGGGAGGAGGGAGAGAAGATGGAAGGGATGGGAGGAGGAAGGAGGGGGACCGGTGGCTTTCCTTTAGACAGCGATGTAGCTGGGCCTTTCTTATTCAATCTGACAATCTCTTTTAGTTGGTATGCTTGGGACATTTTTGTTCACTGAAACTGCCCATGTTTGGATTAAAATATGCCATGTTGCTAGAGATTTTCTATTTTCTCTTTTGTATTTCTATTTTTGCTCACTTTTGGATAGTCTTAAAAATAATGCCATTTTAGAAAGAAATCTCTACTACTGGTTTACTATTTTTTTAGTTAATAGCTACTTCAAAATTTAGACTGTTTCAATTTACAAGTTACAGTGGTTCACTCTCGGTCGTCATCTTTCGTGCTATGTCTGTGTTTGCATATATGTCATGTTTCCACTTGCTCTAAGGCCACAATACATAATCATTTTTAATTAAAAACAAGACACTGGGCTTGATGACATACACCTGTAATCCTCGCACTCAGAACAGAAGGCTGAGGGAGGAAGATTTCAAGCTCAAGAGCAGCCCAAGCTACACAGCAAATACTGCTTCCAAAAAAATCTGCTAATGGTTCAAGGAATCAGAAAGTTGGACGGCTATGTGTGTACACAGCAGGAAGCGGGCAGGGGCAGGAGTCAGAGAACTTTAGGTGCTGCAGTGAGACGTTGCCGTCACAGGATGAGGCAGCTCTCAGAGCTCCTTTGATTAGCAGAACGCGCACACTCAAGAGCCTGAAAGTCAGCCTTGGTCATTTCAATTGCTTTAGTGGGTTTAAGAAAATGACAGTTCTACAGTTCGTATGGTTTCTTCACGTCTTAAGGGTGGGTATGACACTCTTCCTAGTCTTCTCCATCCTAAGTCCAACTGAATTTCTCTCCAGCAGTTTGTGGTTGTCTTCGGATGTCATAAGCTATTCACATGGGCAGGTAAAGAATCATTAATTGTCAAAACAGTCTTGAAGAAAATAATGATAAATAGATCAGTGAGTTATCGGTACAAAGATAAATAAACCCACAGAACAGAATAGAGGCCAGAAAAACAGACCGAGTCCGCATAGAAGGTGGTAGCACAGATCAGCAGGAGAAAAGAGTTATGGGGAAGGTCAGCTATTCATCAGGAAAAACAGGAACCTTCAAGCCCATTTTACATAACAGAAAATCCACAGGAAGACTGAGCTAAATAAAAAGGTAAAACCACTGCAGTTGCAGAAGTCAAAATAGGATAAAGTCCATTCTGTGTCACGGTGACAAATGTCTGAGGTTCATTTAGCTCACCTTTCTGGCGATTCAGGTGCATTCTGTCAACGTTTGCTCAGTCTGGTGACGATCTCATGGAAGTGGCATCGCACACAGGGATGGGGGCGGGAGTGGTGGGTGGTGAGTGCAGGAGAACAATGGGTGATGGAGAGGGGCTGGGGGGGCAGGCTCATCGTACCAACTGGTGCTCTTGCTCTCTCCTCTCTCAGGACTTCCCCCACACGAGAGTTCCCATAAGAAAGCCACTGTCCCTCTCAACCCTCAGTCACTTCTCCCCACCAGACCCCATCTCTCAAACTTGCATGACCTTCCGACATCACCACACTGGTGACCAAGCTTCTACCGCATGATCTTGTGAGGGACAAACCATATCCAAAGTGGTATCTCCATGGCCTTGAGTATGCCACAAAAATCAATACTGAAGGAAGATAAAGAAATTTTCCCATAAGGTGGGTCACTTCTTCTTGGAATGGAGCGTGAGGGAGCTTACTTCCCACCTGGGTAGTGAAATGTTAATCTTCTATCCTCAAGGAACTGTGACCAAGGAGGTACAAATATCCTCCTTTACCATCAGGCAGAAGCTGGGCTTGGGAGTCCCTCATGACAGCTCTTTGAACGTGACCAGAAACTGCCCCAGCTAAGTCCCTCAGCTGACCTGTTTGACTGCTGTTTTCCTCCCTCTACTTCCACACCTGGATACACTCAAACCACACTTTCCAGCAGCTTTCCTTGAAGCATCTGCAGGTGCTAGCAAAGTGAAGGACGAGGAGCTGGGAAGGTGTGTTTGCTGATCTTCTCTAAGTCATGCGTTTGTGAGTAAAGATCCTCCCAGCTCCCCATCAGATGTTATTATATTATAGCGCACAACCGAAGGCATATTTTCAAAGCTAAGTTTGGTTTAAGTAGCTGCTTTGCGGTATTCAGAAGTTCTCAATGGTCATCTATGCATGTTCTCTTGCTAAACAGATAACAAAACATAAATATCTGTAATTTTAATCCTTTACTGTATTTGTTGGTGATGGACAATGATTACCATGTGTCCATGCAGATTTTTATTCATAATATGAATTAGTTTGGATAACTTGGCCTGAATATTTCATTTCATATTCAGCAGAATGCCTTTTTAAATTAAACTTTTACTTTACTTTTGCTTTATGGTAACTGTAGATCTATTTGCATGCAGTTATAAGAAGCAAAACAGATTCCATGTGCCCTTAACCCAATTCCCTTCAGTGGGTGATGTCTTATAAAACTATAGTGCAACATCAGTCAAGAGAGTAGCAATAAAAACCCATTAACACAGAAGACTTCCATCAGCCAGGCCTGTGGTACAGGCCTCCAGTCCTAGCTACTCGGTAGGCTGAGGCAGGACATCACAAGGTCAAGGGCAGCCTGGCTTACACAGAGAGTCCAAGGTCATCCTGCGGGAACTTAGTGAGATTTTGTCTCAAGCATTAAAAGAGGGATAGGAATACAGCTCATGGTAGAGCACTTGCCTAGCCTGTATGAAGCCCTACATTTAATCTTTAGTACTAAGGGATGGGAGGGTATCTATCGCTGCATCACTGGGACACCTCATGCTGCTCCTGTACAACCATATTCAGTTCTCTGTCCCAACCCCTCCTTCACCTGGCTACAGTTAATCTAGCCTCCATTTCTCTAGTCTTGTCATTTCAAGAACATTTACAAATGCAATCATATGGGTCATAAATGTATGAACTGGGCTTTTCACTCAGCATGACTCTCTAGACTTTATCCAGATTGTTGCACGTGCACACAGTTTGCTCATTTTCAACTACGGTGTACTATTTTGTGGTAGAGAAGTTCTTCCCTTTAACTCTTCACTCATTGTAGAACATATGACTTGTTTTTGGCTATCCCATACAAAGCTGCTATAAATATCCATGAACACATACTTGAAAAATATTTGGAAAATGTATTTGTAATGTTCTGTAACTCTAGCTTTCTGGCTTCCAATTACAGAGCAGCATCACCAGGACATCACAGAATTTGCCAAGGGTCCTAGACCACTTCCTCATAACTGACCACTTACTACAGCCACTCTTAACAGCACTTCACAGCCATCAGCCGCCTGACCTTGCAAAGGCCTTGACTCTACAGCTGCGCTTCAGTGAGACAAGATACACGTGCTTACAAAGTATGTTCTTTGAAACATGAATACCTAAAAGGGGGGAGGGGGGCGGTCATGACAACAGTGAATACTACCCCCCCTTTTGAAATGAGCAAATGCACACTGGTGCAAAGGGTGGACCCAGTATCCAACTACCCAAGTAGCTGGATCCCAGCTTCATTGCCTGCTTTGCAAGACACTCACCTTTCCCATAGCTCCATTCTCCATTTACAAAATGAATAAATGAGCAGTACCCCACTGGTATGAATGAAGATTTGAAGGACACAGACATCACTTGATACAGACTATTTTTATTATAATTACCATCAAAATAAAAGTCACTATTGAAATCTCCATGGTTTTGTTAAAAATACCCAGGTCCCGCCTTGGAGATTTAGATTCATTATGTGTGGGGTGAGTCTGCTCTATATAAGGTTGAAGTTCCTTTCCACTAGAACATGTCCAAGACAGGACTACAGGCAGATCCATGTCCAGAACAAGCTGCCCGTTGGGAAGGTGTCAGGTTCATGCCCATATACAATTTAGTAAATTCTTTAACTGTGATCCAGAGAGAGAAATTCTCTCCAAAACTGAGATTGTAACATCATCAAACCACAATTCCTCAAGAAGTAGTTCTATAAAATACAAGACAACAGAATTTAATGTAGCACAGTTGACAAATACCAGCTTTCAAAAGCAGCTAAATATGGCAGTTTGCAGTCTATATTAACATGTTATTTGTGAGTCATAGGTTTGCAGATCAAATCTGAGAATAAGACATTATTTCTTTAGGAATAACACAATCAAGACCATTACTTTTGTGGCTCCACGCTGCCACAACACTCATTTCCGATGCGCCTCTTATCAAGTACCAGGGCAATTTCCAGGGCACCTGGCAATCATTCTGGAGGTGGTGGCAATCTTCTTACCACTTCTGCAGCGATCTGCAGGTAAGCTTTAGCCTGGAAAAGAGCAAACTCATTTGTTCTATGATTTTCCAGCAGACACTGAATGACTCCTGAGCTGTTCACCACAGAAGCCCAGAGTAAAGCAGCAGGCTGGAATCAGGACTCTGCAGTGACGAGATAACGCTGCGTACACTGCGGGTGGGGCAGAGCAGAGGATTTTAGACACTTTGGAGGGTAATTATTTACAAGGTCACTTTGTGAAAAAAGTATTCAGTGTCAGAAATGACCGTATTTCAAATTCTAATTCCAGTGTTAGTAAACTAGCAACCTAGTCTAGTTACATAAAATTACGCCTTTCTCCTCTGACAAACTGATACCCGGAGTTACATACCGCTAGCTCTCCTTCGGGTAAAGGCACTGGTCGTCTTAAGGAGGGCTGTCTCTTCTGACCCTATGGTTAACCTTCACAAAGTGTTTTCTTCCTTCTCCCTGACAAAGTCCGAAATACCAATGCCCTTGTGTTCTGGTCACAACAGTGGTCATGATAGATGCAGTTAAAAATTATCTGAAATGAGTGCAATGCAGATATGCATAAAAGTAACTAACCACCTTATTCATCAAAGTCTTTTATGAATAAGACAGACAGAAAAGACCAGACAGAAAGTCTTTTACTTATCTCTGAGGCCGGGCTTCACCATGCAGAGCTCTGGACTCATGATCCCCCTGCTTCATGAAGCCTCCCAAGTGCTGGGATTACAGGTGTGTGCCACAGTGCCTAGCTTAAGACTCTTAAAACCACTAATTTCTACGTTGCTATGGTCTTACACATACCACTGATGTGATTAAAGTCTACTCAGTACTTCTGATTTGCCAAGTATTTCATTTAGCTGCACAGTTACCCTGGGGGTCAAATTCTGTAACCATCCTCACTTTATAATGAGGAAATCAAGACCCAGGAAAGTGAAGACTTCCCCAAACATCACAGGTGCAGAGCAGTAAGCCAGGCCCTGAGCCAAGGTGAGGAGCTCGCAGGGACGTCCCCAGGCGTGGCACACTACAGACCGGGGTGTCCGTTTACTGTCTCGGTCGGGTGTGTCGCACACATCTTCACTCATGTCTGAGCCCTGGCTGCTAGGTTATGCTTTGTTTTACCAGAAAAGTGTTAAGATTTAATTTTAATAAGATCTTTTGTGAAAAACAGATTTCTGAAAACACAAGACTTTAATGTTTTGTGCCCTGTACATATTATTCCAAGTGCTTCACACTTAAGCAGTCTCACTGCACCTTGTAAAACAAGAATCACTGGCTCAGTTTAGATGGAAACTGACTTTTTTGGCTGAAGGTCATGAAAGTGGTGACTGGTAAAGCCTGAAACCTGAGTCCAACCAAACCTGGAGTCCAGTTCTTTCTACTACAATGCATCAATAGTGAACTCACAAGGCAAAGAATTACAATCATGACCCACAGTCTAAAAGTGGCTTCATTCTCTGCTGGCATTAACAGAATCAGTTTAAAAATGGAAATGTCGCGCACTTATATTTCTTTCAAATCTATACGCTGATTCACGAATCTCTTTAATCTCTATTAAGTATTTGTGACTAATATTTGGTGCTAAAAATGGAGTCACTAAAGCGAATGGAGACAGGCCATCACTCTTGTTAACTCACACTTGCATAAATTAGAGACACAAACCTATCACAATAAAAAATCCAATTTCCCACATGCAGCCTTTGCTTCTTGGTGGCCACCTTGGAGCTTAGACCCCAGTGTGTCACAGTCAAGGTAACAGGCGGGTTGGCATTTGCTGAGAAGTCTCTGGCAGTGCCAAGTGCAACATTTTTGATTTCTACAGAACTGGTGAGACTGAATTTTTCAGGCAATGCTGTGTCATTTCCACAAATCCATTCTGGGCCCTCCTGCACGCAGAACACTGAGCTGGGAAATCTGCAGGATGCAGAGACACAGAAGGAGGCAGAGCTGCGTGATGGTGAGGAGCTGGAGCCCAGGAGTCACAGAGTGGCCTTGGAATCTGGGCTTCACTGCCCTTCGCTGAGGGGCCTTGGGCTAGTTACTTAACCCTTCTAGGCTATTTCTACATCTGTAAAATGGTTGTAAGACTGGCTCACACAACACAAGATTCTGGGGAAAAAAAGGCATGTGAAGTGCTAGCACAGAGTAGGTGAACAAGCAGCCACTGCTATATGATCACACCCTCCAGACACGCAGAACCTGGCTGGGCACAGTGGCCTACACCTGTAATTTCAGCACCTAGGAGCCGAAGGCAGAAGAACCAGTTCAAGGTCATCCCCAGCTACATAGCAAGTTCAAGGCCAGCCTAGACTACATGACACCCTGCCTCAAAAAACCAAATATCGGAAGGAAGGAGGGAGGGAGGGAGGGAGGAAGGGAGGGAGGGGAGAGGAGGAAATCTGTAATTTCACCGAGTTCACATGACTGTTTTCTGAGCATTCTCCTTCTGAGGAATAATTAAATCCCTCTGTTGTGAGTCATCTATATTAAAACCCACAAATACATCATACGTAAAAGATATAACTGAGATTTCTCAAGCTCTTAATACTCTTCTCTCATCAGCTGCATCTAGACCAGTTCCTCCCTCCTATTGAGGATGTTTGTTAGGCCATTTAAGAGGCCCAGATGGGGCCTCTGTCTGCTGTGTCATCACCAAGCAACAGGGAAGAGAGGGAACCAAAATGAAAGAAATTATATGGACATTTGTTTCATTTTGTTTGAAATATTTGCAATTCTGGATTATCACATATAGTCAGCTCATATTAAAACAGTGAGGTGATAATCTAGAAATTACATGATAATAAAGCTTCCATTTATATTTGAAAATCTTTACCTGGGACATCCTTCTGTATATTTTAAATTGATAGAAAGGATAAAACCACAACATCATCAGTCATGAGTCCATTCTTTGTATCCTGGTCTCAGTCAAAGGCAAAGATGTGTCAAAAATTATAATCTCACCGGCGGGAGGCCGCACTACTACAGTTAAGACTTCCCTGTTCTGCTGACGCAGCCACAGATATGTCTCTGTAAGTCTGCCAGCTTTCTGAAGAATTCAGACAAGCGCAATCTCTCTTTTTCTTCTTCATATCCCATTTCCAAACACGCTTTCTTTAAGGCCCTTGTGTTTCTTCACTGTTTTCTCTAAAGCTTCCTCCTCCCAGCCATGTGGCTGCCGGTCAGCCCTGTGTCTGACCCCCACGCGGGCTCTAACCCTGCCCGGCTCCACAGCTTTCTTTCCTGTGTCCCATCGTTGTCCTCCTCAAGGCGGCTGCCAAGATGACTTCTTTAAAATTCTGATAAAATTGTAAAAGCTTGTTCAAAGTACCCACCTTCTCTGGCTTTTCTCTGGCTGTTACACAATCACACTTCGTGTTTTAGTTACTCCTCTCTCCTAAGTAGTACACAAGCCTGAAGTTTTGGTCCATTCACTGGGCAGATTTCAACCCATTAACTATTTAAAATTTATTTATTTTAATTTTATGTATATGAGTGTAGTGCCTGCACATATGTAAGTGCACCTTTGAGTGCAAGGCCTGGGGACATCAGAAGAGGGAGTCAGATCCCCTGGAACTGGAGTTACAGATGACTGTTAGCTGCCATGTAGGGGCTGGGAACCAAACCTGGGTTTTCTGCAACAGCAGTCAGTGCTCTTAACCACTGAGCCAGCTCTCCAGCAGGTGCCCCTGTTAGCTCTTTAACTGGTATCACAAACCCTTCCAACTTTTCCAACGACCTCCCAAATTCCCTGGAATTCATACCTGTAAATGAATCACTAGCCCTTCAGTGTTCATCTTTCCTGAAAGTTAAACTTACTGAGAGAGTAAATCCCTAATGCCTGACCTTTGAAGGATTTTATGGGTAGAGAATGAGAGTCCTCATACTGGGGGATAGAACACAGAGAAAGAGTTAAGAAGAAACCATAAAGCAGGTGAGATTTTTACTGATTTAGCAGTGGCTCACCCTCTAAAACCAAACAACAAAAATCACCAGGATGAAGGGCTGAGGATAGAAGCCACTTAAAGGTTTCTTCCTACTAACTTTCTTTTTGAGTTCATTAGGAACAGACCCCAGGGCCTTGCACGTGGTCAGCAGAAACTCTACCACGGAGCTCGATCCCAGCCCTGTCCTGTTAACTTGTACGAGTTTGTATTGGCAAATGAATAGTCCTTTATTCTTGAAACAAAGACCTGCAGATAGAGTGATCGTCCACAGACACCACAGGGCCTTGCAAGGGCAATGACTAGATACTAGGACAAACTTCTATTTGGGTTTGTAGGGGAAGGAAAGGGGATTTTCAGGAGGCAAGACTCATCATAACTGGAAAGAGTCAGATTCCAGGACTCAGTTACACCTTTTTAATACTGGGAAACAGTATCTTTAATATTGAATCTGGAACTCAACTTTCATGGCTCGATTCTGCTACTCTGAACTTTATAGGCCATGGAAGGGTGATCGCTCCTTGACACTATGGAAGGGGAAGGGCATTAGAGGACTCAGCCCTTCAATAAGAGGAAGAGGAAAGACATCTCAGGGCCGTGGCATCTTAGATTGGAAGTTTCCAAAGGTCTTAAGAACAGCTTGATTCCACTTGTCATTTTTCAATGTAGTTTCATATTATTATCTTAATCCTCCTCATTATGGTGTCAGTATGTAGGTGGAGGGAACAGGAGGTAAGGGAAATTGTTTCACGTCACACTTAGAAAACGGCAGGCTGAGTAGTGAAACCCCACATGGACTGAGATTCAGGGCATTTCCTTCCATGCAGATTTCCTTTGAGAATCTAGCAGAGTTCTTGTGCAATTTCCCAGGAAAATGCACCTTTACACACGCTGGACACAACTTCCGGGGATTCTCAGAGCCAAGTTAGGATCCTGTGTCACGCGCTATGGCTGTGCTTGCTAATAGGGCCCGAAGGGCAGATTCTGCTCACCCTCTCCTCCTGAGTTCCGTACTGTATATAAAGAGGTAAAGTGAAAACCAGCTCTATGCACTCTAGACACACTACATTAACCTACAGGAATCAGGACACGAAGCAGAAAGTGCGCTGGAACACGGTGTGTACAGCCGAGTGTAAGCGGCTTCCAGTACTACCCAGGACGAACTTCCTCAAAGTAACTGAACTTCTGCTGGCTCATGTGGGAGGGGAGATTGTACCTGCTTCCCAAGGATGCAATGAGACTCAAGTAAGATAATGTGTTTGGTATGTTAAGGATTGTACCTGCCTCTTAGAAGAAACGAAAGGAGTTGTAGCTACTTGTGTGGGAACCAGAAGATGATATAATCAAGAGACCAATCGCTGAAAGAACAGACTTGTCCTCTGATCATATTTACAACGTAACAGCGCTGCGATCTTGGGCTAATTATTTAGCTTCCTTGAGGTTCAGTTCCCTCATCTGCAACTATGGAGGTATCGACAGACGACGTTAAGAAATCATGTAAATAAAATGCCTGAGACTACTGTAATTGCTATTATTAGAAAATGACTAATAACTGAGTATCTGCAATCTAAGAACGCCTCCATGAAAAAAGTAACGAAGAGAGGCTGGAGAGATGGCTCAGCAGTTAAGAACACTGGTTGTTCTTGCAGAAGACCTGGGTTCGGATCCCAGCACCCACATGGCAGCTAACAACTGTCCATAACTCCAGTTCCAGGGGATCCGGCAGTCTCTTCTGTCCTCTGTGGGCATTGCATGACACGGGTGCACTTACCTACATGCAGGCAATACACGCATACACGTAAAATAAAAACAAAATATTTAAAAAAAGAAAAGAGCAAAGAACAAAGGACCAGGCTCTCTGCCTTTTTTGCTCTCACTTAGGCTGGCTGTGCCTAACCTCTGCCTGGATATTTCTTCCTGAGCAGCAGGGCTCGTTCTCACACCTACTCAAATGCTCGGAGACCTCCCCTGACCACACCAGTTTATATTCTTCTCCTGTCCGTACCCTCTCTCTCCCTGTCCATTTTCCTATTTAACTTTTTTCCGCTCACTAATTCTTTTTTTATAGAACTTTTTAAATTGAATTTTTGTGTATTTCATACGGAACCTTTCAAACCTGCTATTCTTTTTCTTATTCATGGCCATGTCTAAATCTCAAAATTGGTCAGAAACCTTCACATTTAAGACTGATGAGATTTTTATCAGTTTTTGGAGGGAATTTCTCCCAAAGTAGCCTAAGCCTAAGAGATTGAACCTGTTCAAGACTCAGAAATGTCACCTAGGAACAGTAAGATGATAGGCCCATCAGCTACAGATGTGCGTATCAGATTAAAAAGCACACAACTCCAAAAAACTCCACAAACACTACTGATTAGCATTTAAATTATCTTTGGATGGTTGCTATATGGTTGACATTCCTTTAAATTCAATGCATTGCTTATTATTTTGGAGAATTTTAAAGAAAAAAAGTAATAATGAGCAGGTAGAAACATATCTTAAAATCTAAATTCATATTTGAAATAAACCAATAAATACATAAGCAATAACCATAGAGTATCTTAAATACTCCCTTTGGAAGTCATTTAAATGTGTAATTAAGAAAAACTTCAGTTTTCAAACATCGTCTATTTAAAGTGCACTTTCGGTAGTTAGGATTGCCATACTTTAATGATGAAAGCAATAAAAACCTTCAGTTTTTGTTTATCTGAAAGTTGTGAAAGAAAGGGTAGAAAGGAAATTCAATACCTGAAAGGCAGAGAAAAAAACAAACAAATGAGAACGGCTACATTGTATTTACTCAAAGGTCACACTGCCACCAACCTGTGCATGGCCCTTAAGACAGTAAAAGCAGTTCCTCATCCCTGAAAGGGGAGCTCAGAATCAATCAGCTTGCATAGCCAAGATGCTAGACTTAATTTACTCTTAATTTATTTACGGCACTAACCAGGCTTGGCTCTTTCCTTGTTCACAGAAGTTTAGAGGACGTGAACTGGAAGGAAAAGGTAGTGGTTATGGATGGACTTTCCCCCAGAAAGTTACACCCACCAGCTACAGGGAGGTGGCGCAGCGGGGAGAGCAGCTACCAGAAGACTGTCTGGGGCTGTTTAGGAAGGGGGCACAAAACATACTCAAAAATTGATATATCAGGGCTGGAGAGATGGCTCAGGGTTAAGAGCACTGGCTGATCTTGCAGAGGACCCAGGTCCAATTCCTAGCACCCACATGGCAGCTGACAACCGTCTCTAACTACAGTTCTAGGGGATCTGATGCCTCCCTTGATAGAATATGCAAACCTCAGAAAAACTATGAGCTTCATTAAAGGAGACCATAAAGGCATAAAACCATCAGAGTGGCCAAAGGCTCTAAATTGTAAAAGTACAAAGTTCCCCCAGTGATGAGAGGCCTGGCTCTGCTCACCCCTTATCAGTTGGTCACTCCCAAGCCAGAGAGAACAGTATTTGTGGAGCCCACCTGTGTCTTCTAAGGCCATAGATAAAACTCCTGCCAGTTTCTAGGGAAATAATCTTGAGAAGGAGACCCTCAATCACTCCCAGGACACCAAGCCCGGCACTAATTCAACTCCCCACAAAGTGCAGCTGTGTCTCACAACTTTCGTATGAAAACCCTGACTAGTTGTAGATGCCCGGTTCCCGCGGACAGCCTCTACCTCTCACTTATCTTTGAATAAAGGAAGATGGACTCCTTGCCTGTTGGAGGTCTGGCTCTGGTTTCCTGTCTCCTAGTCCTCCACCCTTCCTTTTATTTTCCAAAAATCTAACACCCTTCTTCTGACCTCTGAGGGAGCTGCACAACACAGGTGCACTTACATATATGCAGGCAATACACTCATCCATGTAAAATAAAAATGATAAAATATTTTTAAAACAGATGTACCAGATGATAGCTGAGCTTCCAAATTAAACATATATGTATATGTATGCATGCATATATGTATGAATAATTGATTTATTTCTATTGTTCAAAAATATTATAAAATATTTTATTCTTAAATTTTCCCATTTTGGCAGCTGTCAACCTGTCAGTTACGTCCCCAGTGACGCCGGCTACCGGAACACTACTCACCTCCCTACCTTCTCTCCCAGTCACACTTACTGGAACTGACGCAGGGCGATCCCATCCCTCCTGACTGGACGCCACACTCACATTTTTCACATTACGTTCCCATCGCCCTGTAACCAACTGAACCTGCAATGCTCAACTGCCATATTCTGAGGACTCAGAAACCGTGGGCCCCAGAGAGAAGACTCCCAGGCCCTCAGCATTGCATCCTCACCAGACAGCTGCCGGGATGACGATTCTCTGCGGGCTGGTGGTTGAACCTATCCTATGAAAGTGAGTGTCTTTGACAGTTGAGTCATCTTTTGGATATATATCCTGCACTCAAGTACGCTTATTTTCCCTACTCTCTACCAGTCAAAAAGAAAACAAAACACATTCAAAAATGTAACTCACCTCATCACTTTCAGGCTGTGAGAACACGATTGGCTGGCCCATGTCTGAAGCTTCCCTTATGCTGAGGTGTAAGGGAACATCTCCTGCAAGAGCCCCAGAGATGCAGTCAGCACAGCGAAGCTCACAGAGGCACCTGCAGCTCACCACGTGGATTTAGGAAGAAATAACATCTCAACTAAAGTCATGGAAACTAAGCTAGTAATGCCTGCCCTCAATTTGATAACTGCCTGAAAAAGGAATTTCCATGCAAATTAGGTGTGAACTATTCCATCTACAGTAGTAGAGTCACTGTGCAAGTATATGTACAAGCTCTGAGCAATCAATCAAGAGATGAGGCATTTGACTTGTACAGAAGTTCTCTAGGCAAGAGGCAGCTTAGAAGACATTTGTAAGTGATTCCCTGGAACATCTGATCAACACATTCCGTTTTCCCACAGTAGGAGGAAATGGACCAGGAAAAGATGCAGAGGCAAAGGAGGCCCTCCCACCCCAACCACAACAAATGATCTTCCTGCTGTTAGCAGATGAGTGGGCTAAGACAAGTAAGAAAGTAAGTCAGGGCTGGCAAGATGGTTCACTCAGTAAGGGCACCTGCCACCAAGGGCGATGACGTGAGTTCTCCCTCCAGGACCCACATGATAGGAGAGAACTGATTCTTGCAAGTTGTCCTATGACTCCCACATGTGTACTGTGGTATGCATGCCCCTATCAACATCAAATCTGTATCTCAAATATCAGCCTGTTAATCAGAGAGAATTACTCTGTTCTTACTACCTACTGAACTACGTGGCCTTGCACATGACTGGGGAGCTTGCTGTGCTCTTGGGAAGCACAAAATGAGAATTGCCAATACAGACTGCAGCAGGAGTGACCACCTGGATCTGAACTCTGGGCTGCTGGGCTGTAGACAGCGAGGTGCTCGGACCTGTCCTGCAGTGTTCTCTTTCCAAACACATGAAGTCTCCCAAAGGCTGAGGTCTAGATGCAGTGAGTGAATCTTACATAGAATGGACATGTGGCTCTCAGCATTCTCAGAAGCACCCAGACCCCGGCAAAGGACACTGAGCATGTGAGTGTAAATGTGTGCTTTACGTCAAAACCACATTCAGCACCCTGCCAAGCAGAGGTCTGTTACAAAAATATTATAATGATTACGCAGTACATGGAAAGGGGCAGGTATTTAATGTGCTATTATAAGCCTATTTTGCAATTGTAGTTCCTTTTCTCCATTATCTTAATTACTGGGATGGTTTGAGCCTTCACTGTGCTTAAACCATCCATTTCAGGACACACGGATGAGGTTCTGAGTCATTTTACAGGCCAGAGGACTGGCTCAGAAGGTAAAGTTGCTTGCCACCAAGCCGTATGACCTGAGCTCAATTCCTGGAACACACATGGTGTAAGGACAACATTGGTTCCCCCAAGTTGTCCTCTGACCGCTACGCATGTGTGGCGGCAAGGCCACACCCCCTTCCTCCTGAAACACACACACTAAATAAAAATTTAATTCACCATAAAAGATTTTAAGATCCGTTTTAGGGACACTGAACCCAACAGGCCAAACAAGGATGAGACTGGGGATATTAAGAGCCCAGAAGCCTTAACTGAGTGAGTGCTCCGCTCCCTGACTTCAGTTCCTCACCCCCAATCCTAGCCCCTTCTTGACTGGACCTTCTACTGCAGTTCATGGGACACCGCTCTAGGGTTCTCTGACTGCCCCAAAAAAGAGAAGTAGGAACTGCAAATTATTTTTCCTGTAACAGTGTTGGAGACAACAGTCCACAGCAATACCCAGTTTGTGAACAGCAATACCCAGTTTGTGACACACTTTAAGGAAATTATACACTGAGCTGTTGGTTAAGATATAACTTCTGGATATGAGACTGTTTCTCCATGAGATACCTCAAATTCTAAATAAATTATAAAACTGTACCACTCATTGTAACTTAGGGAATTATAATACTGCCAGCATAATTCAATAATGTCATTATAATTACACATTCGCTTTATTATATAAGTGAATGTCAATCTGTTATGTTGTTATGCAGATTTTGAAAACTGAACTTTCTAGGTTAGTTAAATGAAAAGCATTTGCAGAATATAACTAGAGGCTATAATTATAATAATGTATCCAAATATATCATTAGCATTCACCTGGTGTTTGTAGTCCCTGCTTTAGAGCAAATGAATAATAACAATAATATGTTTAGCATTAACATTCAGAAACTTATTATAACAGGTAATGTTTTGAAATTCTTTGATCTGTAAAGGATCCTAAGTTTTAACACCTAAAGCTAATAATTCAGTCTACGCCTCCCTTCTTCAGCATCTATATTTGCCCAGAAGAGATGCTCATTCACATCAGAATACAAAAATACAATAGATCGCTGTGGATTTTTGGAAAACTCCTATTTTATCCAAATATGTGTTTTTTTCACTTATGCACACTTTTTGTTCTCCCCACACACTGGTTAATTCTTTGACTCATGCTGTGAACAATACATACAATCACTTAGGTGCTGTTTTATAGAGCTGACAGCTGTACACCATAGGGAACAACAGACACTGTCTTTTGGGGCAGTGAGACGGACCAGCACAGAACTTATCACAAGGCATTTCCATGCACACTCTGAAAGCAGGTGCTCAGAAAGGGGCATGCAGTACACTGAGCAAGCGTGCTCGTGTATACCTACTAACAGATATTTAGGCCCAACGCGGCAGCCAAGCTGATGACCTTCATTTAAAGTATGGCTTTACATCATGGCACTTGGACCACAAAACTGACTCCTCAAATTGAAGCTACAGGCAGCTTTTCTTTATACTAGAAATTACAATCCTGGTTGGTAGAGTCAGGCTATTAAAAATGCTAAGGGAAAGCCCACACAGAAAACAGCCCTAGGGTAATAACTTTAAAGCACAAAGCCGACGCAATGACTTTTCCACTGTTCCAATCCACCATCAGCTTCACCACCAATTCCCCTTCTGCAGTCTCTACCTTGAAAGAGTGTCCCAGGGCCTTACCTAGAACATCGAGATCAAGGGTCTGTGCTAGTTTTCTTGCACCATCAGCACCAAAAATATGAGTTTTATGTTTACATTGTGGACACTGGAAAACACTCATATTTTGGACAAGGCCGAGAACCTAGAATAATAAAAACACACTGAAATTAAAACAAAATTGTACTATATCTCGGCACATCACTTTAACAAGCTTTGACTGAGTACCTACTAAGTCTCGACACAGTGATGAGCAAGGTGTAGCTTTTGGCTCTAGTGAGAGATGCAGACATAGGAATCAGCTTTAATATAATGATATTAAACGCTAAAAGGAGGTAAGTGGGGACTGAAAAGCTCTGCATGGGAGGAATGCAGAGAACCTTGAGTTGCCCAAGGGCAACTGTCCCTTTGGATTATGGGCCGGCAACCTTCTGAAGAGGGAGCAAGTCCACAGCTGAAAACCAGCCAGAGCAGCAAGATCCAGACCTTTCCGGGCTGTAGCCCAGGGTGGGCAACAAGGATGTTTTGGTGATGGAGGTCAGGGTCTGACGGCGCCCTGGTGAGAATACTCAATGTCCCCCAGAGGCTCATGTGTGGAATGCTTGGTCCCCAGGTGGTGGTGCTAGTTTGGGAGATGGAATCAAGTCATGGAGGTGGGGTCTAGTTGGAGCAATCAGGTCACTGAGCTGGGCCCTTGGGGCAAGATGCCACCTGGCTCCGCCTCCTGCTCTCCTTTCTCCACTTCTTATCCACCATGAGGTGAACAACCTCCTCTTCCACATATTCCCACCTATGATGTTCTGCCCAAGGACATGGACCCCAGCAACGACGGCTGAACCCTCTCAAACTGTGAAGCGAACCAAATCTCTCCTCCTTTATACTGTTCCTTCGGGTAACTTGGTCAGAGCAACGAGAAAAGTAACCAGTACAGGTGGTAAGATGCTAAACGTTCCCTAGGAACCTGAGAGTTTTTAGACACAGGAAACAAGTTTCTAAAGTTGAGAAGGTACGTATCAAAGAAGTAATGTAAGGCGAAAGCGTGCTGTGGAAATTTAGCTCCATGACAGTATAGAGAAGAACGGGGTGGGGAGGCGCGTTAACAAGGGACAAAAGTCTCAGGGTCAATAATAGCTAAGACGTAGTGAGCCCTGATCAGATGCCAGGACTAGAACAAGCACTGTCAAGATGCCATTTTCTCCTCATAAGAACATTACAAGCATTTGAACATCTCCATTCTTTAGCAGAGAAAACTGAAGCCAGCAAGATCCACCTCCACTCTGTTATTATTTGAATCAAATTTTAACATTTCATAGACAGCTCCCATCTCTTTCTGAGTTTCCCCAGCTTTTTTTCATGACACAGATCTTTAAAAGACAGTATCATTCAACAGTACCACTGAACAAATACACCGGTTCTGAAAATGTAATATGCATTCCTGCCCCTTCTAACCTCACTTTTACGTTGATGAAAAACAGTAGCTCTCTTCTGGAATAAAAATGCAGAGCCCCAGGAGAGCACACAGGTAGCAGTGTCTGTGTCATCCCACCAACACCACAGTAAGATTGGGTAAGATTGGCACCATAGGAGGGGATTACGTCATCTGCATTTTATTTTATTTTTTTGGTCTTTTTGAGACAGGGCCTCCCGATAGCCCCAGCTGTCCTGGAACTCACTATGTAGACCAGGCAGGCCTTGAACTCACAGAGATCCGCCTGCCTCTGCCTCCCGAGTGCTGGGATTAAAGGCATGTGCCACCACGCCCAGCATCATCTGCATTTTAAATGAACAGCCCACAACAGCACATACAGACAAAAAGGTGATAAAATTTATTATAGCTTTGGAGGGAGGAACAGAAAAGACTGAGGTTGCCCACACACATGTAAATGAAGACAAACAAGGGTGCTGGAAGGGGAAGCATTTCCCCAGCATCTGATATACCCTTTCCCTGATATAAAGGACCACAGAGTGTTATCAGAGAAGAAAACAGACAGGACTCACTCTAGAGTCAGAGATGGTCTCTGTAAGGAAAGATCTGGGACTAAGGGTTATAGAAAAGTCAGGGAAAAACAAGGAAAGGGGAGAGAAACATTTAAGTAGAAGTAGGAAGTCACGTCTCTCTGAGAAATGCCAAGGCCAGTGTGAGTCCTTTGGGTGGCATGAGAGGTGTGAGATGCAGCTGGAAGGGAGAGCCTGCAGGTGGCATCCAGGTGTTTGGGTTACATGACTAGTGCAAAGAGAAGCCATCAAAGGGTCTTTTTAAAAAAAAATTCTTTAAATTTATTATTTTTATTTTATGTGTATGCCTGTGTTGCCTGCATGTAGGTAAGTGCACCCGGGTCGTGCATTGCCCTCAGAGCTCAGAAGAGGCTGTTGGATCCCCTAGGACTGGAGTTACAGACAGTTGTTAGCTGCCATGTGGATGCTGAAATTCAAACCTGGGTCTTCTGCAAGAATAACCAGTGTTCTTAATGGCTGAGCCATCTCTCCAGTCCCCAAAGGGTCTTGATAGGAAGGGCCAGTTCTCCTCCTGGCAAAAAGCTGAGATTTTTTAAAAGTAATATTTATTTTGTTTTATGTGTATAAGTGTTTTGCCTGCATGTAAGTGTACCCATGTGTGCAATGCCCATGAGGCCATAAGAGGGTGGTGGATGCCCTGGAACTGGAGTTCCAGATGACTGTTAGTCACCATGTAGGTGCTAGGAACCAAAGAACAGCCAGATCTCTTAACCACTCCAAGCCCCAAAGTTGGGATTTTTCTCCTCTGCAATCAGGTGAGGAGGTTCAGCCTATCAGAAGGGCCCCACGTCACTTCACACTGAAGCTGTAGGGCTAACTCCCCATTCTGTCCCTCTGGCCTGGTGTCCAGATGGTGGCTGCTCTGTCAAAATTTGGTGTCAAGGGTAAGAATGACACAGAGGAAATCGATATGCGACTTGAGATAGCTCAACTGCTGTTGATTTAAACCATGGAACCAAGAGGGCTGTTAAGATACATAAATAATCTAGACCATCCTTAGCTGACGGAGTGATATGGAAAGAAGGTATCAGAAGTTCTATCTTATGATTTCCTTTTAAATGTCAATTTTGTGTTTTATAATGAACTAACATATACGCTATAAACTGCAGAAGCACATATAAAAACAAACAACCACGCACTGGGATACACAAAGCATCATTTACTGACAAGGAAGCATAATAAAAAACGCAAGGTGATAAGGAGCCATTTCTATGTTTAAGAGTTAGATGTCTGACAACTCTTGGCTCTTTTATTAGTAATATGTAACTTCTTCCAGTTTAAGGACAAATGCCCTAATGCTACTTCCTGGTTCATTTTGAATAGCTAATTAATTGTACTTAGCTCTAGAATTTCTCCATCTTGAGAACTTTCCACCCATATACCACTTTGCTTAATTTTTTTTTAAAGTTGGATGTGATGGACCTTCAGAACCGAGAGCCTGTACATTGGCTCTGTGAATGATACTGCTAAGAACTTGAGAGTGCATATATCCTTAAACATCCTGACTTTAGTTCCTTAGGATGCATACACAGTAGTGTGATTGTGGGATCATATGAGAGCTTTACTTTTACTTTAAATTTTTTTAATTTTAGGGGTTAGAGAGATGGGTCGGTGATTAAGAGCACGTACTGCTCAGGCAGAGAACCTGGGTTCAGTTCCCAGCATCCACACTGGCTCACAAGTGCCCATACCTCCAGCTCCGGGGATCTGATGCCCTTTTCGGACTCTGCAGGCTCCTGCATACATGCACAGATACCATAACTTAGGCTGTCAGGCTTGTTCAGGTAGCACCTTTACTGCTCCACAATCTTGTCAGCCCATATCACAAATATTTTAAAATACAGAACACGATGGAACATTTACTTTCAAGAATACACAAAGCACATACTATCAAATATCTTTGCTTTTAGTTGAAATCACATCAACCAAGTGTGGCAACACTATGTGCTTATCTCATTCTGTATACTTTTATTATTAATAATTATGGCATTTTGGACATAATTTGATCATTATGCCATAATAAAAGTAATAAAGGAATCTGTGAACCTACATACAAAATAGCCATCTGAGGTAGGTAGAAAATAATCTATAAAGCAGAGACAAAGCAGTAAGATTAAGATGAGTTCCTTGGAAGGAACAATCCTCTGCTGTTCTTAATATTCCAATGAAAGGTCTGAAACAAAAGTCTAACCCCAGAGAAGCTCAAAATGATGAAGTTGGACCCCATCATTAGTAAGGTAACCATCAGTCATATGCTACTAAGCACTGGAAATGGGGCTTGTCTGAGCTGAGATGTTTTTAAGTATAAAATACATGCAACATGCTAATGACTTAGTATGAGGAATACGGGTATGCAATGTATTTCAATAACCTTTAAGGCTCACAAGTTATTTTTTTAAGTTATTTATTTTTAAGGTTTTAAAATCACAGTATATCATGAACATGTACCCACACGTAAGCACACAAATCATTAGTGGACAGCTGAACAGACTTATGAAGTACACAAATTCTGCTAAGAAACACACTGCCAGCGCCCTAGAAGCTTCCGTGTATACCCTCAGAAGCCCTTGTTCAAAGAAACACACTCACCTGATTGCCAGCATTATAAGACAACTTTATCTGGTCTTAACTGGACAGGAATGCAATCATACAACATATTTGTTTGTTTGTTTCCATGAGACTCATTCAGTTAAGCTATATGTCTATGGTTCATTTTCACATTCCTGTTGCTCATTTGGGTTATTTCAAAGCTTTGGATACGATAAATAATGCTTCCATGAATGTTTTTATATTTCTTTCTTCTTTTCTTAAGCTGAGTATTAAGTTACACCCACATACCATTTTTACTGTGGTTTTAATTTGCATTGCTGTATTAATGCAATTGAGTACATTTTTAAATAGTTATTGGCCATTTGTATGTCAACTTCTGTAATGTACCTATTCAGATGTCTTGCTTACTTTTGTAAACTACTTTTTTTTCCTCGCTGAATTTTAAAAATTCCTATGTGGGAGGATGGTAAGATGGCTGAAGGGGTAAAGGGTAAAGGTGCTTCCAAGCAAGCCTGAGCTGGAGTCCCCGAACCCACGGAAAGGTGGAAGGGGAGAGCCAACTCCACAAAGTTGTTCTCT